GGAAAGTGTCCGGACTGGAAGGGGGTGAAAGTGTCCGGACTGGAAGGAAGGGGGTGGTGAAAGTGTCCGGACTGGAAGGGGGGGAAAGTGTCCGGACTGGAAGGGGGGGGAAAGCATCCGGACTGGAAGGGGGGGAAAGTGTCCGGACTGGAAGGGGGGGAAAGTGTCCGGACTGGAAGGGGGTGTGAAAGTGTCCGGACTGGAAGGGGGTGAAAGTGTCCAGACTGGAAGGGGGGGAAAGTGTCCGGACTGGATAGGGGGAAAGTGTCCTGACTGGAAGGGGGGAAAGCATCCGGACTGGGGAACGGGGGGGGGAAAGTGTCTGGACTGGAAGGGGGTGAAAGTGTCCGGACTGGAAGGGGGGAAAGTGTCCGGACTGGAAGGGGGGGGGGGGGAATGTCCGGACTGGAAGGGGGGGGGAAAGTGTCCGGACTGGAAGGGGGGGGAGTGTCCGGACTGGAAGGGGGATGAAAGCGTCCGGACTGGAAGGTGGTGAAAGTGTCCAGACTGGAAGGGGGTGAAAGTGTCCGGACTGGAAGGGGGGGAAAGTGTCCAGACTGGAAGGGGGTGAAAGTGTCCGGACTGGGAAGGGGGTCGAATGAAAGTGTCCGGACTGGAAGGGGGGGGGAGAGTGTCCGGACTGGAAGGGGGTGAAAGTGTCCGGACTGGAAGGGGGTGAAAGTGTCCGGACTGGAAGGGGGGGGGGAGTGTCCGGACTGGAAGGGGGGGGGGAAGTGTCTGGACTGGAAGGGGGTGAAAGTGTCCGGACTGGAAGGGGGGGAAAGTGTCCGGACTGGAAGGGGGGGGGACGTGTCCGGACTGGAAGGGGGGGAGTGTCCGGACTGGAAAGGGGGGGGGGAGTGTCCGGACTGGGAGGGGGGGGGAGTGTCCGGACTGGAGGTGGTAAATGACAAACTACAGGAGCGTCATCGACTTGAAACAGCGATTATTTCTTACCATTTGGAGGTGTCGATAATTTTGTCTGGTCCATTTTTGGGGGTTTTGCGTTGAAATGGGTCAGATTTGGCTTTTTTGTTTCTCTACTTTCTCTACTAAAAAGTCCCTAAAAATTATACATAAAAATTAAAATACTATAAATAAAAAAGTCTTCAAAAAATTATATATAAAAATTAAAAATATTATAAATAAAAAGTCCCCCAAAATAAAATACTATAAATAAAATGTCCCCCAAAAATTTATATATCCAGTCCACAAAAAATATATTGTGCTCAATCCCCCCTAAAAAAAAACGTGCTCCAAAATTATATTTAAAAATATATTTCAATAAATAAATAAATAAATATATATAGTAGGCAAATCTATTGTGTGTGTCCCATGGTAACCGTGTGATTCCGTGATTAAGGACGGGTTTATTACAGGTCAAGCTGGATGGCTTCACAGGTTGGGGGACTCTTATCACCTCCACCTGGTTCTGGAGGACCATTGAAGCCTTCCAGAAGCCAGTGGGCGGAAGAGGTGCAGATCTAATCTGCATGTTTGTGAGTGTCTAACCGGTCCCAGGTTTGGAGGCTGTGTTTTTGATGCATTTTTTTAAGCGTGTTGTGTTTTTTTTGTTTTTTAATGCTTTTTTGTGGCCAATTTGTTGTTGGGAAATTTAAAAAAAACTGCAAAACGCAACAAAAACGTGTAAAAAAACGCACTGCGTTTTCTGCAGCGTCTCCTTTGAAGCTTATTGAACCAAATACGCACCGATTTGCATTTAAAAAAAAAAGTCCCCGACCCTTTCCGAAAACGCGGGAGATTGAAAAACGCGGAGATGTGAACGCGTCCCATAGGAAGCCATGTTAAATGGACTGTCGTGAGTCTAAGAAAAAATGCAAAACCGGGGCTTAGTGTGAATACGCCCCAACATCTGGGCGTACGTGAAACTTTTCCGCAAACCTGGTATTTTTTTTTTTCTTCTTCCCGTATGAAATGAAAGCCGTGACATCACAGGCGTGCCGCCGCCCCCCAGCCGCCCGATCAGGCCCAATAAAACGTTTGGAAAGTTTCTGGCGGCGAAAGAGCACTCAGGAAATTAGCGAGAGCGGAAAGCGGGCAATAATTTACTGCGGACCCAAACATTTATGATTTGTACAAAAAAAAAAAGCAAAAAAAAAAAAGTACTTCGGGGAGCGCGAACACCTTCGCAGACATAAATTAATCCGCCGGGCGTAGCTCTCAGCCGCCCCGATTTTAATGCGGAACTTTAAGTAGTCCATAAATTTGTCCGGGAAGATAATTTGTGGTTTGGTAAACAATAAATCAAATAGTTTATGTTGGATATGTTTGCAGATTTGTGGATTTCCCGGAGAAATCTGAAGAGGAATAATGTGAGTTTTGCGGATGTGTCTCCGGGGAACGCACTTTACGGGCGGCGAGCCGCGCTCCTCCGGCTACTAAATGCTTTATTTTGTTGCCTTCTGGGAGACACCTGGAATTGAATTTGTAGACTCTTCTCTTATGATGAGTTTATTTTATAAGGTGTATATCAGATTTATCCCTGGGAGGGAAAGTGTGCCCCCCACCCCCATCCCCCGCCCCCTAGTACCCCCTGCGCCCTACTGCCTAAGATTCTGCCATTTGGGCTGGATGGTGCGCTGGACACAAAGGGCAGGGGGGGGGGGGGGGGCAACATGAAAAGGCAGCACCACCAGAGCCATCCAATGGGTGTTAAAAATGCCGACTGTTCGGGATTTGCCTGCAGAGCTCCACGTCTTGGACCTCAACCCTGATGGTGCTGTGCCCTGGGCCGTGTCCTGGGACCATAATGTCCCCTTTATTGAGGTATTCATTATGGTGATGGGGGGGGGGAGGTTGTGAGTGAGAAGCTCCTACATAACTAGAATTATCTCCCAGTATTGGGGTCCCTTCCCTATGATCCGCTAGCACTCAGGTCCCTTCCCACCCATTCCCCAGCACTGAAGTTTCTTTCCCACTTTCCCCAACACTGAGGTCCCCCTTCTCCATCTCCCATTACTGAGGACCCTTTCCCCCCACTTCCCACCATCCTTCAGAATTAGAGTCCATTCCCCATCATTTCCCAGCACTGGGGTCCCCTCTCAACCATCCAATAGCACTAAGGCCTCTTCCTTACCATACCCCCCCTTTGCCCAGCACTGGGTTCCCTTCCACACCATTTACCAGAACTGGGGTCCCGTCCCCATCATCTCCTAGCACTGAAGTTTCTTTCCCACTTTCCCCAACACTGGGGTCCCCCTTCTCCATCTCCAATTACTGAGGGCCCTTTCCCCCCCATTTCCCACCATCCTTCAGAATTAGAGTCCCTTCCACATCATTTCCCAGCACTAGGGTCCCTTCCCCAGCACTGGGGTCCCCTCTCAACCATCCAATAGCACTAAAGCCTCTTAATTACCATACCTCCCCCCCCCCCCCCCCATTGCCCAGCACTGGGTTCCCTTCCACACCATTTACCAGAACTGAGATCCTGTCCCCATCACCTCCTAGCACTGAAATTTCTGGGATCCCTTCCCCACCATCCACCATCCCCCAGCACTGGAGTCCCTTTTCCCCACCATCCCCCAGCACTAGGGCCCCTTCCTCATCATCCCGGAGCACTGGGGTCCCTTCCCCACCATCTCCCATCCTGGAACCTTTCCCCACCATCTCTCACCCTGGAGTGTTTCCCCACCATCCTCAAGCACCCCATTTCCTACCATTTCCTATCCTGGAACCTTTCCCTACCATCCCCCAGCACTGGGGTCCTATCCCCACCATCCCCAACACCCCTTCCCTACCATTTCCTATCTTTGAACCTTTCCCTACCATCCCCCCCCAGCACTGGGGTCCCATCCCCACCATCCCCAAGCACCCCTTCCTACCATTTCCTATCCTGGAAACCTTTCCCTACCATCCCCCAGCACTGGGGTCCCATCCCCACCATCCCCAAGCACTGGCATCACTTCCCCACCATTCCACAGTTTTGGGGTCCCTTCCCCACCATCACCTGCTTTGGTCTCTTACCCACCATCTCCCAGCAAATGATATCCCTTCCCCCCATCTACCAGCACTGGAGACCATTTCCCACCATCCCCCAGCACTGATCTCCTTCTCCACTATCTCCCATACTGCGGTTCCCTTCCCCCTCTACCCCCCCCCCCCAGCATTGAGGTCCTTTCCCCCAGAGCTCTGAGGTCCCCTGTCCACCATCCCCCACCACTGTATATACCATTTTAATTGAATGTTTTAATAAATTCCAGAAGATTTTTTCTATATGAAGCAAAAATCAGAAATCCGAATTTCACCGACTGACCAACCCGGAGCCGAGCTCTGCCTGAATCTCCGGGACAAGTGGAACTCTGGGAAATGGGGAAATCACTGACAAGTAACTGACAGGTAATGACAACCTATTAAAGGGGGGGGATTTACTAAAAGAGTGAAAACTGTTCAGTGAGCTTAGCACATCATCCAGGAGCTCTCCCCTCAGGGACAGGTTCTCTTTTTGTACATTTCCTATAAGGTTCTATGGTCCTGAGAATGCTGGGAGTTGTAGTCTCCCATGGAAAAAGAATCTGCACTTAGTAATATCTCTAGCAGAGGTTGTCATCATTATAATAATAAGAAGAACCTCTCTAGAGTCAACATTTTTCCACCGAGAATCTCCCATCATCAGCACCCATCCAGGCCAACTGTCCTGGAATTCCTGGGACAGTCCCACCTATGATGTGTCCTGGGCCATGTCCCGGCATCACAGCATCAACCTTGTTTGCCCACATGGAGCAAACTTGTGGGGATCAGGGCTGCCAAAGGCCAGGTTTGGGAAGAACCAACCAGGAAAGTGTGTATGATGGGCAGCCACATACACTACATTCCAGAAGTGATGAGCCAGCCCTCCATATCATGTGATTCAGGTGCTCCAATCCCCTCCCAATCATGTGATTCAGGTGTTCCAATCCCCTCCCAATCATGTGATTCAGGTGTTCCAATCCCCTCCATATCATATGATTTAGGTGTTCCAATCCCCTCCAATCATATGATTTAGTTGTTCCAATCCCCTCCATATCATGTGACTCAGGTGTTCCAATTCCCTCCATATCATGTGATTCAGGTGTCCCTATCCCCTCCCAATCATGTGATTCAGGTGTTCCAATCCCCTCCCAATCATGTGATTCAGGTGTTCCAATCCCTTCCCAATCATGTGATTCAGGTGTTCCAATCCCCTCCCAATCATGTGATTCAGGTGTCCCTATCCCCTCCCAATCATGTGATTCAGGTGTTCCAATCCCCTCCCAATCATGTGATTCAGGTGTTCCAATCCCTTCCCAATCATGTGATTCAGGTATTCCAATCCCCTCCCAATCATGTGATTCAGGTGTTCCAATCCCCTCCAATCATATGATTTTGGTATTCCAATCCCCTCCATATCATGTGATTCCGGTGTTCCAATCCCCTCCATATCATGTGATTCCGGTGTTCCAATCCCCTCCATATCATGTGATTCAGGTGTTCCAATCCCCTCCCAATCATGTGATTCAGGTGTTCCAATCCCTTCCCAATCATGTGATTCAGGTGTCCCCAATCCCCTCCATATCATGTGATTCAGGTGTTCCAATCCCCTCCCAATCATGTGATTCAGGTATCCCAATCCCCTCCCAATCATGTGATTCGGGTTTTTACAATCCCCTTCCAATCATGTGATTCAGGTGTTCTAATCCCCTCCATATCATGTGATTCAGGTGTTCCAATCCCCTCCCAATCATGTGATTCAGGTGTTCCAATCCCCTCCCAATCATGTGATTCAGGTGTTCCAATCCCCCCCAATCATGTGATTCAGGTGTTCCAATCCCCTCCCAATCATGTGATTCAGGTGCTCCAATCCCCTCCCAATCATGTGATTCAGGTGTTCCAATCCCCTCCCAATCATGTGATTCAGGTGTTCCAATCCCTTCCCAATCATGTGATTCAGGTGTTCCAATCCCCTCCCAATCATGTGATTCAGGTGTCCCTATCCCCTCCCAATCATGTGATTCAGGTGTTCCAATCCCCTCCCAATCATGTGATTCAGGTGTTCCAATCCCTTCCCAATCATGTGATTCAGGTGTTCCAATCCCCTCCCAATCATGTGATTCAGGTGTTCCAATCCCCTCCAATCATATGATTTAGGTGTTCCAATCCCCTCCATATCATGTGATTCCGGTGTTCCAATCCCCTCCATATCATGTGATTCCGGTGTTCCAATCCCCTCCATATCATGTGATTCAGGTGTTCCAATCCCCTCCCAATCATGTGATTCAGGTGTTCCAATCCCTTCCCAATCATGTGATTCAGGTGTCCCAATCCCCTCCATATCATGTGATTCAGGTGTTCCAATCCCCTCCCAATCATGTGATTCAGGTATCCCAATCCCCTCCCAATCATGTGATTCGGGTTTTTACAATCCCCTTCCAATCATGTGATTCAGGTGTTCTAATCCCCTCCATATCATGTGATTCAGGTGTTCCAATCCCCTCCCAATCATGTGATTCAGGTGTTCCAATCCCCTCCCAATCATGTGATTCAGGTGTTCCAATCCCCCCCCAATCATGTGATTCAGGTGTTCCAATCCCCTCCCAATCATGTGATTCAGGTGCTCCAATCCCCTCCATATCATGTGATTCAGATGTTCCAATCCCCTCCATGGACACAGGTGTATACAATCAAGCCCCTAGGCATGCAGACGGCTTCTACAAACATTGGTGAAAGAATGGGTCGCTCTCAGGAGCTCAGTGACTCCAAGCGTGGTCCCGTGATAGGTGGCCACCTGGGCAATAAGTCCATCCGTGACATTTCCTGGCTACTAAATATTCCACGCTCAACTGTTAGTGGGATTATAACAAAGCGGAAGCAACTGGGAACAACAGCCACTCAGCCACCAAGTGTGTGATTCAGGTGCTCCAATCCCCTCCATATCATGTGATTCAGGTGTTCCAATCCCCTCCATATCATGTGATTCAGGTGTTCCAATCCCCTCCATATCATGTGATTCAGGTGTCCCAATCCCCTCCCAATCATGTGATTCAGGTGTTCCAATCCCCTCCATATCATATGATTCAGGTGTTCCAATCCCCTCCATATCATGTGATTCAGGTGTTCCAATCCCCTCCCAATCATGTGATTCAGGTGTCCCAATCCCCTCCCAATCATGTGATTCAGGTGCTCCAATCCCCTCCACATCATGTGATTCAGGTGTTCCAATCCCCTCCATATCATGTGAATCAGGTGTTCCAATCCCCTCCATATCATGTGATTCAGGTGTTCCAATCCCCTCCCAATCATGTGATTCAGGTGTTCCAATCCCCTCCATGGACACAGGTGTATACAATCACGCCCCTAGGCATGCAGACGGCTTCTACAAACATTGGTGAAAGAATGGGTCGCTCTCAGGAGCTCAGTGACTCCAAGCGTCAAGGTCCCGTGATAGGTGGCCACCTGGGCAATAAGTCCATCCGTGACATTTCCTGGCTACTAAATATTCCACGCTCAACTGTTTAGTGGGATTATAACAAAGTGGAAGCCACTGGGAACAACGGCCACTCAGCCACCAAGTGGTAGGCCACGTCACATGACAGGGCGGGGGTCAGCGCATGCTGAAGCGCACAGTGCGCAGAAGTCGCCAACTGTCTGCAGAGTCAATAGCTAAAGACCTCCAAACTTGGTGTGGCCTTCAGATGAGCCCAACAACAGTGCGTAGAGAGCTTCATGGAATGGGTTTCCATGGCCGAGCAGCTGCATCCAAGCCTTCCATCACCAAGTGCAATGCAAAGCGTCGGATGCCGTGGTGTAAAGCACGCCGCCACTGAACTCTAGAGCAGTGGAGACGTGTTCTCTGGAGGGACCAATCATGCTTCTCTGTCTGGCAATCTCATGGACGTGTCTGGGTTTGGCAGTGGCCAGGAGAACGGTACTTGCCTGACTGCATTGTGCCAAGTGTAAAGTTTGTTTGAGGGGGGATTATGGTGTGGGGTGTTTTTCAGGGGTTGGCTTGGCCCCCCTAGTTCCAGTGAAGGAAGTCTTAAGGCAACATTTTGGACAATTTCATGCTCCCAACTTTGTGGGAGGAGTTTGGGGATGGCCCCTTCCTGTTCCAACATGCCTACCCACCAGTGCACAAAGCAAGGTCCATAAAGACATGGAGGAGCCAGTTTGGGGTGGAGGAACTTGACTGTCCTGCACAGAGTCCTGACCTCAACCCCATAGAACACCTTTGGGATGAATTAGAGCAGAGACTGCAAGCCAATGCAAAGCGTCAGATGCCGTGGTGTAAAGCATGCCACCACTGGACTCGAGCAGGGGAGGATGATCACACATTGGGAGCCTGTGTGACGGGGTGACAACGCAGGAGCACAATTTGAAGATTGGGACAGAGTTTGGTCACCCTGTAAAAGGAAGTGCAGAGCACCAAGGACTGTTTTAATGAAATCTGCAGCTTCACGGTTGAACTCCCGGCACAAATCCTTTCACTTATATATATATTCTGCAATAATCCAATCTGTGCGCAACAAATGCCTTTGCAAACCCAGATGTTGCCTTGTAAAGTAGCAGTGACACAGCCAGTGCAGAGAGCAAATCTGTGGGAGGGGCCCAGCAGGCTCCACCCACTACAGAAAGCAACAGGAGGGAGTGGAGACAAGACCAGACATCCTGCACAAGGAGAAAGAGCAGAGCTGTGGGAGGAGCACAGCAGGCTCCACCCACAATAGGCTGTCTGCAGAAATCTACAGGGGGTGGGCGGAGACAAGACCAGTCACCCTGAACAAGTAGAGAGCAGTTGTGGAAGGGACTCAGCAGGCTCCGCCCCCTTCAGGAGGGGGCGGAGACCAGAGCAGTCCCCCTGCACAAGGAGAGAGAGGGCAAAGCTGTGGGACGGACCCAGGAGGCTCCGCCCACTACAGAAAACTTCAGGAGGGGGCGGAGACCAGACCAGTCCCCTTTCACAAGGAAAGAGAGCAAAGCTGTGGGAGGGACCCGGGAGGCTCCGCCCACTACAGAAAACTTCAGGAGGGGCAGAGACTAGACCAGTCCCCTTTCACAAGGAGAGAAAAAGCAGAGCTGTGGGAGGGACCCAGCAGGCTCCGCCCACTACAGAAACCTACAGGAGGGGGTGGGGACAAGACCAGTCCCCCTGCACAAGCAGAGAGCAGAACTGTGGGAGGGGCCAGCAGGCTACACCCATCACAGAAAACTTCAGGAGGGGGCGGAGACCAGATCAGTCCCCCTGCACAAGGAGAGAAAAAGCAGAGCTGTGGGAGGGGCCCAGTAGGCTCCGCCCACTACAGAAAACTTTATAGGGGGGCGGAGACCAGATCAGCCCCCCTGCACAAGGAGAAAGAGAGCAGAGCTGTGAGAGAGACCCAATAGGCTCCGCTCACTACAGAAAACTACAGGAGGGGGCGGAGACAAGACCAGTCCTCCTACACAAGGAGAGAGGGCAGCAGTGAGCGGTCTTCATTCCAGGAGGTCTCACAATGGATGACGGCACAGATCAGAAATACACAAATCAAGCGAGATTCTGGAGGAAGATACGAGACCGATGGATTTATTATCCCGGAGTTCAGATTAATGGCCGGTAAAATATCCAATGAGGATTTGGTGGTCAGGTCTCCGATCGGCATACATTGATCCTTCACATCAACAAATCGTTTCCATTGATACAAACTTACAAATCCTGATCTGCATTGTCAGCCCTGAAAGGTGGCCATCCGATTGGCTGTGATTGGCGGCGTGCGTGGTGTGGAGGGCTCTCCGGCGTTCTCTCTGCAGAGTACAGGACGCGGCTCGCCAGCAATTAATGCGTTTGTGAGTGTGGAGAATCATCGATGTAACCGCCGGAACCCCCCAGAGAGATGTAATCAGCCTCTAATTGAATTATCAGCCGCATTCACTATGCACAATTTCCTGCCATTAGAGCGCCAACCTGCCTATAAATAACGCCGCAATTTACTGCCACCAATGAGGACGTCACTCCACCATGGAACAGCAAACACCCAGCTCCTCCCCTCCAGTCTTGTACAGGTGTACGGGCTCCTCCCCTCCAGTCTTACACAGGGTGTACCGGCTCCTCCCCTCCAGTCTTGTACAGGTGTACCGGCTCCTCCCCTCCAGTCTTGTACAGGTGTACCGGCTCCTCCCCTCCAGTCTTGTACAGGCGTACCGGCTCCTCCCCTCCAGTCTTGTACAGGCGTACCGGCTCCTCCCCTCCAGTCTTGTACAGGTGTACCGGCTCCTCCCCTCCAGTCTTGTACAGGTGCACCGCCTCCTCCCCTTCAGCCTTGCACAGGTGTACCAGCTCCTCCCCTTCAGTCTTGCACAGGTGTACCGGCTCCTCCCCTCCAGTCTTGTACAGGTGTACCGGCTCCTCCCCTCCAGTCTTACACAGGTGTACCGGCTCCTCCCCTCCAGTCTTACACAGGTGTACCGGCTCCTCCCCTCCAGTCTTACACAGGTGTACCGGCTCCTCCCCTCCAGTCTTGTACAGGTGTACCAGCTCCTCCCCTCCAGTCTTGTACAGGTGTATAGGCTCCTCCCCCCAGTGTTGCACAGGTGTACCGGCTCCTCCTCTCTAGTTTTGCACAGGTGTATAGGCTCCTCCCCTCCAGTCTTGCACAGGTGTACTGACTCCTATCCTCCAGTCTTGCACAGGTGTACTGACTCCTCCCCTTCAGACTTGCACAGGTGTACTGACTCCTCCCCTTCAGTCTTGCACAGGTGTACTGACTCCTCCCCTTCAGTCTTGCACAGGTGTAACTGCTCCTCCCCTCCAATCTAGCACAGGTGTACCTGCTCCTCCCCTTCAGCCTTGCTCAGGTGTACCAGCTCCTTCCCTTCAGTCTTGCACAGGTGTACCAGCTCCTCCCCTTCAGTCTTGCACAGGTGTACTGGCTCCTCCCCTCCAGTCTTGCACAGGTGTACCGGCTCCTCCCCTTAACTGAAACGGCTTCCTCTGATGTCACTGCACACTGGGAGCTTCTCACAATGTGCATTAGAAGCCGCAGCCAGTCAGATAGAACTCCGCCTCCTTTCCTGGCTGGGGGACGTCCAGCATCATCTAGCTCTTTCCTCCCCAGCCTGATGGTCCAGGGCCCACCCCTTTTCAGTTATTGGTTTTCAGTTCTTTCCACAACAGAGGCTCAGCATCACACATGGGAGTTACCTATGCAAATACAGCCTGCTTAGGAACGCCCACTCCTTCAGACTGACACCCATCAATCAAGGCATTTGAATATTTCCATAACTCCTCCCAAGAGCCCACCCACTGCTTGCATCAGAGCTGAGGAGGAGGAGTAATGAGGCAGGATGCAGGGATGTTTTCTGGGAGCCATGTACAGCACACTGCCGGTCCCTCCCACCAGCCATGATCTGTCTTCATTGCATAGAGAACACAAAGACCCAGTTTAAAACAAGTTTTTTTTTTTTTTTTAATAATGTAATTTTATGAGCATGTTGATGGGTGTGTGTGTGTGGGGGGGGGGGACGGGGGACTGCTAACTTTACATAAAGTCTAAGGGGCGGGGGATTTACTCAAACTACCGAGTGCAAAATCTGGTGTAGCTGGGTATGAGATCCAATCAGCTTCCAGGTTTTATTGTCAAAGCTTCATTGAACAAACTGAAGTTAGAAGCTGATTGGCTCGTATGCACAGCTGCCCGAGTTTGAGGAAATCTACCCCTATGTAGCTGTCCAAAGTCTGCAATATAGGACTCTCCAAGTTGCAATTGGAGCAGATGATGGAGATGAAAGGTATCGCTGGGTCAGGAAGTGATGCTAAAATCCTCTCAACGGGGAAACTGTCGGGATCACATAATAATACACTGCTCAAAAAATTGAAAAGGTTTGCTGTGTCTCCTAGCACAGTCTCAAGAGCATAGAGGAGATTCCAGGAGACAAGAGCATGGAGGAGATTCCAGGAGACGAGAGCATGGAGGAGATTCCAGGAGACGAGAGCATGGAGGAGATTCCAGGAGACGAGAGCATGGAGGAGATTCCAGGAGACGAGAGCATGGAGGAGATTCCAGGAGACGAGAGCATGGAGGAGATTCCAGGAGACGAGAGCATGGAGGAGATTCCAGGAGACGAGAGCATGGAGGAGATTCCAGGAGACGAGAGCATGGAGGAGATTCCAGGAGACAAGAGCATGGAGGAGATTCCAGGAGACGAGAGCACGGAGGAGATTCCAGGAGATGAGAGCATGGAGGAGATTCCAGGAGACGAGAGCATGGAGGAGAATCCAGGAGAGGAGAGCATGGAGGAGAATCCAGGAGACGAGAGCATGTTGGAGATTCCAGGAGACGAGAGCATGAAGGAGATTCCAGGAGACAAGAGCATGAAGGAGATTCCAGGAGACAGGCAGTTCCTCTAGGAGAGCTGGACAGGGCCGTAGAAGGCCCTTAACCCATCAGCAGGACCGGTATCTGCTCCTTTGTGCAAGGAGGAACAGGATGAGCCCTGCCAGAGCCCTACAAGATGACCTCCAGCAGGCCACTGGTGGGAATGTCTCTGACCAAACAATCAGAAACAGACTTCATGAGGGTGGCCTGAGGGCCCGATGTCCTCTAGTGGGCCCCTGTGCTCACTGCCCGGCACCATAGAGCTGGATTGGCATTTGCCATTGAACCCCAGAATTGGTAGGTCCACCACTGGCGCCCTGTACTTTTCACAGATGAGAGCAGGTTCCCCCTGAGCACATGTGACAGACGTGAAAGGGTCTGGAGAAGCCGTGGAGAACGTTCTGCTGTCTGTAACATGGTTCAGTATGACCATTCTGGTGGTGGGTCAGTGATGGTCTGGGGGGGCATATCCATGGAGGGACACACAGACCTCTACAGGCTAGACCAGTGGTCGGCAAGCCGCGGCTCGCGAGCCACATGCGGCTCTTTACAAGCTTAAATGCGGCTCTTCTGTGTGCCGGGCGCCCCCTCCCTCCTCTCCCCTCCCCCTCCCCTCCTCTCGGGACGGGCGTGTGCCGGGCGGCCGCCCCCTCACCTGCCCTCACCTCCCCCTCCCCTCCCTCCTCTCGGACGGCCCGCCCGCTCCCCTCCCTCCTCTTGGGCGGCCGCCCCAAAAGTCAGGACTCTGCAGCTGTCAGGATGTAGGCGGGGCAGCCAGGATGTAGGCGGGGCAGCGTGACGAACTCCTCTCCTCTCACAGTCCGCCCTGAAGACCAGAACGGCGCGGGAAGCACGACGAGAGGAACGCGCGGAGCAAAGGTAAGTGAATTGACACAGGGGGGACTTACTATATGGGGGATGAATTACTATATGGGGGACTTACTATATGGGGGGGGACTTACTATATTGGGGATGAATTACTATATGGGGGGGGACTTACTATATGGGGGGGGACTTACTATATGGGGGACTTACTATATGGGGGATGAATTACTATATGGGGGATGAATTACTATATGGGGGATGAATTACTATATGGGAGATGAATTACTATATGGGGGATGAATTACTATGGGGGATGAATTGCTATATGGGGGATGAATTACTATATGGGGGATGAATTACTATATGGGGGATGAATTACTATATGGGGGATGAATTACTATATGGGGGATGAATTACTATATGGGGGATGAATTACTATGGGGGATGAATTACTATATGGGAGATGTATTTTCAGTTTTAAAAATGTGGCTCTCAAAATAAATTTCAATCGTGGTTTTGGCGAGATTTGGCTCAGTTGAAAAAAAAGGTTGCCCACCACTGGGCTAGACAATGGCCCCCTGACTGACATTAGGTAGGGGGATGAAATCCTTTGACCCATTGTCAGAACCTACGCTGGTGCAGGGGGTCCTGGGGTTCCTCCTGGTGCAGGGGGTCCTGGGTTCCTCCTGATGCAGTGGGTCCCGGGTTCCTCCTGGTGCAGTGGGTCCCGGGTTCCTCCTGATGCAGTGGGTCCCAGGTTCTTCCTGGTGCGGTGGGTCCTGGGTTCCTCCTGGTGCGGTGGGTCCTGGGTTCCTCCTGGTGCAGTGAGTCCTGGGTTCCTCCTGGTGCAGTGGGTCCTGGGTTCCTCGTGGTGCAGTGGTCCTGGGTTCCTCCTGGTGCAGTGAGTCCTGGGTTCCTCCTGGTGCAGTGGGTCCTGGGTTCCTCTTGGTGCAGTGAGTCCTGAGTTCCTCCTGGTGCAGGACAATGCCCGGCCTCATGTGGAAAGAGTATGCAGGCAGTTCCTGGATGATGAAAGAATTGATACCATTGAATGGCCCCCACGCTCACCTGACCTAAATCCAATAGAACCCCTCTGGGATGTCATGTGTCGGTCCATCCGACGCCGCCAGGTTGCACCTCAGACTGTCCAGGAGCTCAGTGATGCCCTGGTCCAGATCTGGGAGGAAATCCCCCAGGACACCATCCGTGGTCTCATTAGGAGCCTCCCCTGACATTGTCAGGCATGCATACAAGCACATGGGGGCCACACAGACTACTGAGGGCCATTCTGAGTTGGACTCACCTGTTGCATCATTTCTTCACTTTGATTTTCGGGGTGTCTTTGAATTCAGTCCTCTGTAGGTCGATTATTTCCATCCAATGATGGGGCGTCCTTACATTCCTCACCCATCCCCCGTCCATGTCAGTATAGAGATCCAGCAGGAGATTCCTCCCCATTGGGATCTGATGGGTTTTCAGAGTCTTCCTTTCATTTTTTCGGGCCGTGTATAAACTCAACAGACATTCTGACCTCAGCTTACTCCATCCAAAAATGAGAAAAAACTTTTTTTTTTTCTGGAATTTCACTTTAAAAGAAGAGTTTTTGATGGGAATATTTTTTTTCCCCATGACAGATGACAGAAGGAGGAATGGCGGAGAGGATATTGGTGTCACCTTCCTGTCGCTGCATTCTTTCTCTTCTCGGAGATTGTGCCCAGAGGTGACACCGTCTATTAATTCCATTTCCTGAGCTCAGCCACCATTAGATTAGTGAGAGGAGGAAGTTCATTACAAGTCTGCAGCAAGTGAAGGCTGAGTGCCCCGGGAGATCGCCCGGGCGGATCACTGACCACATACAGGGTTCAAAACTACAACCCAGTAACATTATGGTACCGGAACCCTGGACATTTAGAACCCCGCCCACAATCTGCATTTCATCCACTCACTTATGGGTGGGCGTGCCCAAATCACACCCATTTTACAGGTCGGCCCTGCCTAAGGATGAGCCGAATGTATCCGGTTTCCATTCTAGGTGGGGTTTGATGAAAATGACTGAATTTCAGGTACCTGGATGAGGGTCCAGTGCGGGAGACCCATGCAAAAATGAAATTAAAAAAAAAGGCTTTTGTACCAACCCCAAGATTTGTTGGGGAACCTCATGCAAAAATCAAGGAAAAAAGCGTTGGGTCCCCCCAAAATCCACACCAGACTCTTATCCCAGTATGAAACCTGGCAGACCACTGAAGGAGAATGATGGGCGCGCACCCCTTTACCTGAACCATACTGGGCCACATGCACTCAACATGAAGGGGAAGCCTTGCCCAGGGAAGACCCATATTGATGAGGACAAGAGCTTCTTCCCCATGACCTTGGCCTGGTGGTTGTGGACCTCTGTGGCTTCTGCGAACTTGAAAGCCCCTTGAAATGAGTATAGGGGTACATAGAATCCCTACCCATTCACATAAAACAAGTGGACAGGAAAAGGTTTTGGTCTGAACCTTGAGCTAATCCCTTCAGCCTTGCACAGGTGTACCGGCTCCTCCCCTTCAGCCTTGCACAGGTGTACCGGCTCCTCCCCTTCAGTCTTGCACAGGTGTACCGGCTCCTCCCCTTCAGTCTTGCACAGGTGTACCGGCTCCTCCCCTTCAGTCTTGCACAGCTGTACAGGCTCCTCCCCTTCAGTCTTGCACAGGTGTACCGGCTCCTCCCCTTCAGTCTCACACAGGTGTATCGGCTCCTCCCCTTCAGTCTTGCACAGGTGTACCGGCTCCTCCCCTTCAGCCTTGCACAGGTGTACCTGCTCCTCCCCTTCAGTCTTGCACAGGTGTACTGGCTCCTCCCCTTCAGTCTTGCACAGGTGTACCGGCTCCTCCCCTTCAGTCTTGCACAGCTGTACAGGCTCCTCCCCTTCAGTCTTGCACAGGGTGTACCGGCTCCTCCCCTTCAGTCTCGCACAGGTGTATCGGCTCCTCCCCTTCAGTCTTGCACAGGTGTACTGGCTCCTCCCCTTCAGTCTTGCACAGGTGTACCGGCTCCTCCCCTTCAGTTTTGTACAGGTGTGTACCGGCTCCTCCCCTTCAGCCTTGCACAGGTGTACCGACTCTTCCCCTTCAGTCTTGTACAGGTGTACCGGCTCCTCCCCTTCAGTCTTGCACAGGTGTACCGGCTCCTCCCCTTCAGTCTTGCACAGGTGTACCGGCTTCTCCCGTTCAGTCTTACACAGGTGTACCAGCTCCTCCCCTTCAGTCTTGCACTGGTGTACCGGCTCCTCCCCTCCAGTCTTGCACAGGTGTACCGGCTCCTCCCCTTCAGTCTTGCACAGGTGTACCAGCTCCTCCCCTTCAGTCTTGCACTGGTGTACCGGCTCCTCCCCTCCAGTCTTGCACAGGTGTACTGGCTCCTCCCCTTCAGTCTTGCACAGCTGTACCGACTCCTCCCCTTCAGTCTTGCACAGGTGTACCGGCTCCTCCCCTTCAGTCTTGCACAGGTGTATAGGCTCCTCCCCTTCAGTCTTGCACAGGTGTATCGGCTCCTCCCCTTCAGTCTTGCACAGGTGTACCGGCTCCTCCCCTTCAGTCTTGCACAGGTGTACTGGCTCCTCCCCTTCAGTCTTGCACAGCTGTACCGGCTCCTCCCCTCCAGTCTTGCACAGGTGTACTGGCTCCTCCCCTTCAGTCTTGCACAGGTTTACCGGCTCCTCCCCTTCAGTCTTGCACAGGTGTACCGGCTCCTCCCCTGGACTGTCCTGGCTTCCTCTGATGTCACTGCACACTGGGAGCTTCTCACAATGTGCATTAGAAGCTGCAGCCAGTCAGAACTCCGCCTCCTTTCCTGGCTGGAGGACGTCCAGCATCATCATCTAGCTCTTTCCTTGCCAGCCTGACTGACCCTGGCCCCACCCCTTTCATTCCCCAGCCTGACTGTCCCTGGCCCCACCCCTTTCATTCCCCAGCCTGACTGTCCCTGGCCCTGCCCCTTTCAGTCATTGGATTTCAGTTCCGTCAATCACGGAGGCTCAGAATGACATTTGAGTATTGCCTATGCAAATTCAGCCTGCAAAGCATGTTGATATTTGCATAACTCCTCCCACAGCTTCCACCAGGACTCCTGCTTGAGCAGTATTGAGGGTAGGACGCTGTGATTAGGAGGCTATCTACACATCTACAGGGCCCTTTTGCCCCCCCCCCCCCCCCCCCCACAGGCAATGATCTGCCAGCATTGCATACAGACACAAAGAGGCCTGGTGATGACATCACCACGTCTTAAATAGGGTATGTAATGAAAATGGAAGGATTTTATTTAAAATGTCAATAGCACGTTGATGGGGGGGGGGGACCAGGAATGTTGGGCAGCATCTTTAATTATTAACCTTTTCATGGCCAGAGCTCAAATGTCTAGACCAGGCTTAGCAATCTTGGCAGGCCTCAGTTATCCTGAAAAAACTCAAATTGTTCAGCGCGTCCGTCCGAGAACTAGGAACTGTGTTTTGAAAATTGTTGCCGCCAGTGATGAGCAGATCTATAATAGTGGATGGTGGCTGTAAAAATTAAATAAATAAAAAAAAATATATATATATATATATATATATTTTTACATGATCAAATAATGGTAATAATAAGAATTATTATTATTATTAATAATAATAATAATAATATTAATACATTTTAATTTAATAAATAATAAATGTATATAACACACGTATATATATATATACACACACACACAGTGCTCAGCATACATGAATCCACCCCAACAGATCTGTCAGAAATCCTTTCCTTCCAGAATCCACATTTTCTATGGGACGCTATACTACAAACTCCTTCCACCAATGCCGGCCATTGATTGCACACAAGATTTGGTCATTTGCGCACACAAAAAAGTATTTTTCCTCACAAATTCATCCCAGACCATGTTGCAAAAATGAACACACCCCAATGAAAGTCTTGTTAGCAAACCTACATTTTAGGCAACAAAATCCTAATGAACAAGCTCCAGGTGAGTCTCATTATTCATTAAACAGGTGTCCAGCAGACAGGTAATTATAAAAGGGTGTTACCTAACAAAGTAAACCCCGCCCATTTCATGCTGTCAGCGACTGCACCACATGGAACAGAAAGGTGACGGCTACAAGAAGATCAGCAAAGCTTTACTTATCAGTCAGAATAATAGAGCAAAAGTGATACAAAAATGTAACAAAGATGGAACTGCAACCATCTCACAGAGACGTCCAGGCCATCCACGGAAGTGAACACCTCGACAGGAGTGTCTTCTGATGAGGAGGGATGAAGAAATTCGCCATGCAAGGTCACTGCAGTTCGCTGAAGAAGTAGAAAGCCAAACTGGGGCGATTGTTTCCCGTGACACAATACGGCGTACACTGCAGAGGAATGGCATGCATGGGTGTCGTCCACGAAGGAAGCCTCTCCTGGAGCCCATGTGCAAAAACCCCACCTAGAATTTGCCGGGGCCCATACTGAAAAAGACTACTGGGACTCTGTACTCTGGAGGGATGACACCAAGATAAATGTTTTTGGAACTGATGGCTTCATAACTGATGGTGTCACAAAGGTGAGGAGTACAAAGATAAATGCATGGTGCCTACTGTGAAACATGGTGGTGGCAGTGTCCTTCTGTGGAGCTGCATGAGTGCTGCTGGTGTCAGGAGCTGAATTTCACTGATGGTGTCATGAATTCACAGATGTACTGCTCTATATGGAGAGAGAAGATGCTCCCGTCACTCCGTGCCCTCGATCGTCCTGCACTTCTCCAACATGACAGCGATCCAAAACACACATCTAAGGCCACTGCTGCATCTCTGAAGAAGAACCGGGTGACCGTGATCCAGTGGCCAAGTCTGTCTCCTGATCTGAACCCAATCCAACACCTATGGGGGGGATTCTGAAGAGACAAGCTGAGCATCGCTCTCCATCCAGCATCCAGGCTCTAAAAGAGATCGTTCTGGAAGAATGGAAAAAGATCGATGTCGCAATATGTCACCAACTTGTTTATTCCATGCCTAGAAAACTCGGTGCCGTCCTTACCAATCATGGAGGTCGTACAGAATACTCGATGGAGGAGTTCTAGTTGTGGGGGGGGGGGGGGGATTCATTTTTGCATCAACTCATTGGAGTAAAACAGAAGATTTTGTCATCAAACTTCTATTATGAACCTTCCTTCCATGGAATGAGCTGAACAAACATTCGATCAAACTCCGCTCTGTCCCCATGGTGGAGATCGTTCTTGAAGAATGGAAAACGATCGATGTCGCAATATGTTGCCAACTTGTTCATTCCACGCCTAGAAGACAAGAACAAACGTTCAATAAAACTCAGTTTTGTCAAAATTCTGGAAATCGATCTTGTGTTCATTGAGAGATCGATGCAAATCTTATGCAGGCCATAGACGGGTCGAAAACCGGCTGTTTTTTAATTAAAAAACCCCTGAAAAATCAGTCGCTCGATCGGCTAACGTTACCACCAACTGTAAAATAATCGGCCGATTTTCGTCCCGTCTACGGCCGACATTTAATTACTTCTGTCCCTGCAGAGAGCTCCGCTATTATATTTTACATGAAAAGTCTTGCGGTTGCAACAATGTATCCATTTGTATCTATTTGTATCCATTTCGGATACAGATGGTTTTATTCGGATACAAATAGATACATTGTTGCAACCGCAATACTTTTTCATGTCAAATATAATAGTGGACTGGAATTCTTCTTCTTTTTCTTCTTCTTCTCCTTCTTCCAGGTCACGGCTCATGCGCAGATTTTTTATCGGTAAAACGATCGGCCGATTTGCCCATTATTGCCGGGAAAATCTGTTGATCGTCAAAATCGGCTGCAATATTTCCAACTTTACCGATAAAAAAAAATGTGCAAAAACCCCAAGAAACAGCCAACCAATTAACCCACTAATGGTGCGAAAATCGGCTGATTTTTTTTCGTCTGAAAAATCGGCCAATTTTCGACCCGTCTATGGCTGGCATTTCTTTTCGGAAGGGGTGGGCTCACGTATGCCGAGCGCTGTGTATATATATATACAGGGACAACATGTGACCTCACTGAGGAAGCCTATGTACAGAGCGTGTGCCTGGCGTGGTGAGATGTGAAGTTTCCCTTCCAGAGATATCACAGATGTAGCGATTATTTCTGCAGACGGCGGCGCGGTTTCTATTAGTTTTCATGGCGGCGCGCGGTTTAGCGGAATTACAGAATAATCGTATCAACATGAAAACAGAAGCGCCGTCCTCAAGGATAGATTTGTGATCTGATAAGTTTTTTATTCTGAAATCAAAAAACACAAAAATCGCCGACGGCAAAAACCTTCATGTGCCGATCCTCCAGCGAGAGGATTTCTTGTAGAAAACGCAGAAACGTCGCGCTCCTCGCCAAGACTCTGAGACGTGTTTCATGTTCGGCAAGGTTACAAAATATTATCTTTGAAGGGAAACATGAAGAGATAAATAAGTCAATTATAGAAGGCGGGGCGGCCTTTAAAGGAGGAAAAATGTGTTCAAATAAACGGCGTCGGCTTTGTTGTCGTAAATGGGAGACGTGCAAACATGGAGGTGGAACGAGAATATTCGTGGGTGCGTCCATCTCCGAACTATACAGAGCGGCAATCACTAGAGGTACCATGATCGTGTCACCGTATACTACGAAGGATGAGAGCAAATGGGGAGAGTGTCTCTGCCCCTCCCACAATGGGGCGATCTCCCCCAGTAGTTTTGTGTCTCTGCCCCTCCCACAATGGGGAGATTTCCCTGCAGTAGTTTGTGTCTCTGCCCCTCCCACAATGGGGAGATTTCCCTGCAGTAGTTTCTGTCTCTGCTCCTCCCACAATGGGGAGATTTCCCCCAGTAGTTGGTGTCTCTGCCCCTCCCACAAGGTGGAGATTTCCCACAGTAGTTTGTGTCTCTGCCCCTCCCACAATGGGAGATTTCCCTACAGTAGTTTGTGTCTCTGCCCCTCCCACAATGGGGAGATTTCCCTGCAGTAGTTTGTGTCTCTGCTCCTCCCACAATGGGGAGATTTCCCCCAGTAGTTGGTGTCTCTGCCCCTCCCACAAGGTGGAGATTTCCCACAGTAGTTTGTGTCTCTGCCCCTCCCACAATGGGGAGATTTCCCTACAGTAGTTTGTGTCTCTGCCCCTCCCACAATGGGGGTATTTCCTGCAGTAGTTTGTGTTTCTGCCCCCCCCACAATGGGGAGATTTCCCACAGTAGTTTGTATCTCTGCCCCTCCCACAATGGGGAGATTTCCCTGCAGTAGTTTGTGTCTCTGCCCCTCCCACAATGGGGAGATTTCCCTGCAGTAGTTTGTGTCTCTGCCCCTCCCACAATGGGGAGATTTCCCACAGTAGTTTGTGTCTCTGCCCCTCCCACAATGGGGAGATTTCCCAGCAGTAGTTTGTGTCTCTGCCCCTCCCACAATGGGGAGATTTCCCTGCAGTAGTTTGTGTCTCTGCCCCTCCCACAATGGGGAGATTTCCCTGCAGTAGTTGGTGTCTCTGCCCCTCCCACAATGGGGAGATTTCCCGCAGTAGTTTCTGTCTCTGCCCCTCCCACAATGGGGAGATTTCCCGCAGTAGTTTCTGTCTCTGCCCCTCCCACAATGGGGAGATTTCCCGCAGTAGTTTCTGTCTCTGCCCCTCCCACAATGCTTGAGAAACTGACACTTTCCTGGAGAGGTTCTTCTATCTTCCAGACTGACTGAATTAGTAAATAATTTCTTCATATCCTACAGTGGCCCCTCCCCCCTCTGTATGGCCCCTCCCTCTATGTATGGCCCCTCCCTCTCTGTATCTCTGTACAAGTCTGCATGAAAGCTCCGCCTTTTAATATTAAAAAGCTGTCCAGTCAGTGACTTTGCCTGGGCTGAGATGATGTCATCAGTCTGCTGCAAGCAGG